ATCATGCAAGGACAAGTAGATGAGGGGAGTGCTATCTAACTGAAACTATATTATTATCAAAAAGCACTGTGCTGATTTAAAATCTATGCTAGAAATACTTTTTGTTTAATTTATAATCCATAATCTATAGTGAATCTATAAAAAAAATCCTAACATTCCAGAGGCATATAGTGATCTGCATTATCATCAGTGATAATCTATGATTTAACCAGAAAAATAAAAAAAAACGTTTACAGTATACATTGCGAGTATACAGACCAGAATACAATGCTGTGGAAACATTTTTCATGCTGCTTCCTTCTTTATGGACTTTGTGGTTCATTGCCTATGTTCATCATTTACGTTCTCCTTACAAACTACAGGATGGAACCAGAGGAGCATTTATAATGAATTTGAATTCGACACATTTGGACCTTTTGTTACTGAACAAGTGATTTCTGCAGGGAGGGTTGTGGCTGCAACTTGACTAATTGTAAACAACATTGTGGGTTATGGAAAGTTTTGCAGTGCACTGCAATGGTTTAGTCTTTGACATCATAATACCTACCAGAGATAATACTTTTATCACACAATTAGTCTGAATGGAAACATTTTTACTGCCATGTTTGTTCTCAGTACACAGTTCACTCAGGAACACTGGATATCCTTCGGACATATTGTGTATTTGAGTATTTTAAAAGGACAGATGGGACACGCTGCTCCATTAGTTCTGAACTATCTCTGTGTTTTAGAACTAAGCCTCAGTTCTCTGTCTCACACCAGTAAGCTTGTTGTAATTACTAGTCAGGTATCAGAGCTATTAAGCATCGCATTAACAACCTTGCTAAGTGTTCATTATCTCCAGGTTATTTGTGTCTTAAATTCAGCACCATGTTCTGCCTTATTAGGCTGCAGTCAGCCAATTAGCCACCAGGAAATAATTAATCAACAGCTTCTTGACCCACTCTCTTCAACTAAAGCGGCACCCCCCCCCCCCCCCCCCCCCCCCCCCCCCCCCCCCCCCCCTGCCACCAAACGCCACATTTTCTCTCATTTAGATATTAAAAGTAGTTGATCTCAAAAGGTCTTGCCACATCAGGGTGTCTTATTTTTCCGCTCCGTTTCTGTGTCTGAGAAGCTTTTATTTTGTGCATTTTGTCAGGAGATGGGAGGTATTTTCCAGGCTGATAATGAACTCAGCAGGGGTGTAATGATGAGACACCAGGAGAGCTACAGGTGTGTTCAGTGAGGCTGCAGTCTACTCCCTCAACCTGCAACACACCCCTCAACACATACACATCGCATCACATCTAACACCTACATACATAAAGATCGTATACATTCATTCATTAACTCTTTAATTCCGGGCCTCTTTTTTTGATTTATTAATTTCTTATTTTTTTGCTTCAATTTTAATATGATCATGACTGATTTAAGAAAATGTGGCATTGAAAGCATAAAATAAGTCCTGAAAAACCACAAGCAAAGTCCATAAGCTTGTTTTCAAGGAATAAATAAAAGCCAGAGAGCTGAAGACAAATCACCAGCTCACATAGTTTAGAGACTACGACCTGCAGGCACATTTCAAACAACCTGCGAAGTTTTAAATTATTCATAGATTACACACTGGATACAGGAAATATTAGAACAGATTAATTGTGCTAATCTAAGCCTCAGCTAACAAAATGTTATTGAAAACTTATCTGAGATGTGGCTGGTTAGTGTTTTAGGTTTTACTGTAAAAGGTGTGAGAACCGCTCAAGAGATGTAGATATTTTCTTTAATCACAGCTAAGTCCTGAGATCTAATAAAGGCCCATGAATAAGTCAGAAGTCCATAAAAACTGAGTATCCTCAGCAGAATGCTGTTTGGACAATAACAATAAACATTACGATAAATGCCCTAATTAGGTGTTTGTTGAGTAGTGAAACAGATCTGTTATTTGTTTTGTAATAATTGCCCTATAGACTGGTTTACTGCCCAGCTGCATGTTTCCCTTTAGGTGTTCCCAGTTTGGTGCCTTGAAACAAATCATCTGTCCCTATTCCTTAAGTAAATCATATAATTTAATTACAGGTTAAGTTATATGCTGTATTGATTCATATCGTTCGCTGATTTGAAAGGAACATTTTAATCATCCTACAAGTTTGTTTCTGATCCAAAAGGTAAACAATTAAAATGACATTCTTTTTAATTTGATCAATAAACTAGAGAGCACTGGAAGAGTGCAGACCTCTGCCAAGTAGCTCTTTTCTACCTCTTAAGTTAAAAGCTTTCTTCACAGAATCTTTCAAAAAGTTCCTGGATCCAGATGCTGATCTGGAACATAGACAAAATTTAAAGGTATAATTGAGGATGTTCTTTTTCCTGGTGAATCATGAAAATAGGTCAAATTTCCTCCTAGTTGCCAGTCAATCTGGTGACATGTTTACATAAGGCCGTCCTACGTGCTCGTCCCCATTTTCACTTACCAGTGGTGAGTCTGACATAGTTGAAAAATTGCAAATCTTCTTTTGGAAAGTAAGCTTGTATGAGCGTTGCACACATAAACTTTTAAACAGAGTGTGCACGAGGAGAAATGAGCTCATGCATGCTCCCACGTGTTTAATAGGCGGTACCTCTCGGGAGTGGGTAGAGGGTTGTGCATTTTCAATAGTTTTTATACACATTTTAAAGATTTGTGTTAAATTGCTCAAATCAAAATTCAAAAAATAATTTATTTGATTGTCTTCCCACATTTTCCAAAACTATTGCCCCACTTCCAATATCCTGCAAGGTGTTTTGTAAATTATTGGTACATAAAATTGTATCTGTTGCGAAATCTCAGTAAATCAGCTATTAAAGCTTTATTTTTTTTATATATATATATAATTTAATCTAACATGTAACTGATTTTTAAATCTGCTTTGTGAAATGAAATGTTTTTGTTTGGCTTAGCTGAAATATTTCCCAAAATCAAAATACTCTGTTATACTTCTTCTGAAGTTAGAAATTCACGAGAGGCAGAATATAAAGAAACAACAACTAACAGTTAAGAGGGGATTCTTTGCCTTCGTACAGTTTTCAAGTTTTTTTTATTTTTATTAAACTCTGCTTACTTGCTTACTGCCCACTTCATTCTTCCACTTTACTTCCTGGTCTTTCTATCACAGATGCATGCAGCTGTTTTATCATGCTGAATGCAGTTTCTTACAATGGGAAAGCTGAAGTGTTAAATTAACAGGAGGCACCCACTGCTGTCACCAGTGATATTTTACAATCTGTTCCAGCAAGCTTGACAGTCCATTTGTTATCACTGAGATAAATTCCTGTAAATGCATCAGCAGTCATCTTATGCTCACTCTTTTAGTGATCTTTTATCAGTTTCAGAGGAGTGAACTTCTCTCCTCCCCATCAGTCCTGCTTATATGGATTGGTTGGTTGACAGCTGTGTTGAAGAACAGAAGCAGAGACAGAAACATTAATTAAATGAATCTAATAATAATCCCGGTCATTTGTCAGAGCAATGATATTAATGTCAACCTACTAATCTCTTCTTTAATAAATTCATCCTCTGATTCCAGGTCATTTTTGAGTGGGGAACATCACTGTTCTTTACTATTCATGCAAAAGTGTTCTATTTACTCTACTTAAGGGAATTTGCTTTCCATACATGGTAAAAAAATCTATATAAATTTATTTCAAATTTTATTAAATTTCTAATTATGGGACATTGTTTTAGAATAGTTTATCATTTACACAAGTATATATAATAATATTTTTTCCCTTGATATCTAATTCATAGCTCAAAATATTCCTTTAGTAATTTTTTTACACATGATAATAATAATAATGCATATGACTAAACTAGAATCTTTGCAGGTTCAGCACAGTAACACACAAATAAATCTATTTATATTGATGTTGATAGCCTTTGATCATTAAATTTGACTTTTTTTGTACAAGCAAGTATAAAGATGTAAGAAGAAAGACCAATTTCTAAAAATTAACAGAGTGAAAACATTTGTTTGACTGGTATCTGAAAAATAACAATTAAATAAAAATGAAGCCATGATATTCATACACTTGCACCAGAAGCAAATCTGTGCATAAACCCCTCTGTAGGGTGCATGTAACCTCATTTTTTGTTTTAAGTTTCCTGTATATATGTTGGGACGTTTTAGCTGCAGAGGTCACACATGCTTCTCTCCTCTTTCCTAAACTGGAGGAGTTTGAGGCGCAGTCACGATGCGAGCAGGCTTGGATGTCCTCTCCAGCAGCGCAGATGCCACTAAATAAAATATTTCATAATCCTGCCCAAATCCTCTAATCACCATGACAACAGGCAGCAGGGAGCCAGAGAGAGGATGCGTTTGGACCCCCCACCTCTTTTTTTGCTCCCTCTTTTTCCTTCTTTGTTTGTATTTGAATAAACAGTCTAATCATAGTCTCCTTGTATCCTGTCTGCTACATGACTTGGTAAATTGACTTTAGACTTTTATTGATTTGTCATATTGAACAACAGTTTTTTTGTTTTTCTTTTTTCTTGGCCGTATTTCTGACCCCGTTTTCATAGAAATGGGTTGTTGTTTTTTTTGGACATAAAACATACTAGTTTTAATGCGACCTCAGAATGACTCCAAATAATCGAAAGTATACAAACCTTATCTGTACTACACAATAAAGACCTGTCGGCTCCTGTGAAGTGATAGGATAATGGAGGTGATGACCTCATGAGGTGAAAAGACCTGTTGCCTGGTAACAGTGTGGAAAACAGCCAGTCATGGAGTGGTCATATCATCAGTGTGAATATGTGTGCATTTGAGATATTGATCTGTGCTGACAGGTAGAGGATGATGATGATGACAGTGGTTTAGAAGAAGGGAGGTCCAGTTTTATGAGGATCGATCACGAACCAAAAACAGTGTCTGTTCTAAACACTTCCTGGATTCACTTCCTACGCTTTAATGATTCTTCTTTGGGTAACTTGACTGTGTTGGTGCCAGGTATAAATAATTGACTATCTCTCCTGCTCTCCACAGGTATCCGTCCCCAGATTATGAATGGGCCTATGCACCCACGCCCCCTGGTGGCACTGCTGGATGGGCGCGACTGCACCGTGGAGATGCCCATCCTCAAAGACCTGGCCACTGTGGCTTTCTGTGATGCCCAGTCCACACAGGAGATACATGAAAAGGTATAGCTCATAGTTAATGAGTAAATAATCAGCCATTCCTCTTAGATCTTACTTTATGACTTTTTTTATGATAAAGACTGAGATTTTCCAACAATGAATAGTAAAATGCCAGCACAAAGCAGCGTCTGCTGGAGAAATAACTCTGCATTAACTTCTGTTTCTAATTTTGTTTGCTTTCTGCTCGGCAGCGAGAACCATCTTTGTCCTCCTTCCAAACCTCCTCCTCTGTAGTGTTTTAATGATATTTCAGCCCACTGGCTCGTTCTAGTCTCCCAGTACAGCCATAATGGTTTCATCACTGACGCTAATCCCACTGGGGGCTGAAGTGCAGCTTTGTTAACTAAGGAGGAGTGGGAGGAGGAGGAGGCTGGTAATAGAAATGCAGTGTAATTGTTCTCAGCCAGAGTGGGTGAAACATTTGTCTTATTTTACTGTCTATACACAAGAGCCAATGAGAGGCAAGTTTACAGTACAAACTCAAGAGTTTTAAGAGGCTGATGGGAAAAAAACAAGGCAAATTCTGCTCCCTTTTCTACCTACAGTTAAAAAGTAGCTTTTTTTTAACAGTGATTGATTTAATTTACCGTTTGCAGAGACAAAATCCTAAGTAAATCTTTTTGTTTGCATTAGGACTCTGTGTGCAGTGAAATGCTCTCAGTGTGATTATGTTACACAAACATAGGGCCCATCTGGAAGCATCAGCGTTGGCTGCAGTCCCACACCGATAGCTACACAACAGAGGATACAGAGGGGCTGCAAATATGCATACACACACATTCACACACACACTCTAAATTACTCACAACCTCACCAGCTCACTGTGGGAAAACTGAAGCAAACTGCTTGGCTTTATATGTTTTTTTTTTTTGTTTTTTTTTTCTTTACAAACGAGATGCACTGAATTTATTATATGCAGCAGCGACTGTTTGACTCATTTTTTTGTTTTGTTTTCCTATGTGTTTCTGCATTTTATTTAAATCGGTTAAATCAGTTCACATTAGTTCAGAGCAGTTTGATTCTATTACGTTTTGTTTGGATCTAAGATAGAATTAGTCAAATTCATATTCGTTTCTAATTCTGTTCCAAATTAATACATTTCCGTTGAGTTCAGTTTAATTTAGTTCAGTTACATTCTTTTAAATGAATGTATGTATGTAATAAAATAATCTAATTATAATAATTTGTAGAGAAAGCAGTTACAGCTGAAATTTGTTAAATTATTTTCCACTTTAGTGTGATTCAGTTCTGTTACAGTTTCATCCAATTTAAGTCAATTCATTCTAAATTGGTTTCTTTAATGTCACACTGAAGAGGCATTCAAGCTTTTATGGTTTAATTCTATAAAGTACATAAATATTAATGATTATTTATCATTTCTTTTAACCAAGCTGCTTTACAAAGTGCATAATTTAGCAGGCTTATTTCCAGCCTCTTCTGGTTCTGCACTTATGTAGCAAAGAAATCTCAATTGATCTGAAGGTGCAGCTGAAAGCCTGCAGCGGTGAGGGCTTTGTGGATCCTGCGGAGGGAGAAATCACGCATGATTGGCGATCCAGTCCTGTCCTTGAAAACACAACAACGACATTAGAATTTCAGAAAGAAATCATAGTTTAACCATTTTCTGCTGTTTCTTTGACATCAATTAGATAGCAGCTGCTTGATGCTGTTTTTCCACAACCTTTACAAAAGCACTCCGACAAACCGGGAAATATTTTTCAACCAAGTTGAAGTTAAACACAGTTACTCATGCATAAAAATATAAGCTGGACAGCTTTTTTAGCTTATAAGGTAGGTGTCTTCTGACTGGTGATTTTGGATGCTGCCTTTATTTTTACAGCTCAATCCTCTTTCTTGCAACAGCTTTTGCATTCATTAGTCTTTAGGACTAAACCTGCTGATGTGTTGCATCAAAAAGCATTTAGTAAGTAGCAGCACAGAAAGGAATCTTGTCATCAAACCATGAAAGCTTTTTTAGTAGATTATCTGTTTGTTGTTTGATTTTAAGACAGAAAAACAGTTAAGAAAATAATTTTCTTACCCTTCCTGTTGTGAGTGGCTGTTATTTATACTTGCTTTAAACAAGGGTTTACTCTATTTAAAACAAGACAAAATAATAATAGTTATTATACTTCAATGTTAGAGAGATGGCTTCAATAGGGACCAATATTTCTGTCTTTTATGACTGTGATGCCAGGAAGTGGTTAACAAAGCATCACAGGAAAAAGTCTGGCCCAAATTAGAACTAAAAAGAATAGTTATGAAAGCTCTCTAATTACCATGTTTTAACTATTGTGTTTTTTTTTTTTTCAAAAATCTCAAACGTATTTTTTTCTTTTTAAACTAAAAGCTAAACACATTTTCTGTGTAACTTTCAGATAATTTTAAGGATTTGTGTTTTTGTACCATTTAACACTAGATATAGTGCTGTAATAGACAATACAGGAGAATATTTGGTTTTCAACTCTTCATGAAGGAGGAAATTAAAGGATTTATTAAAATTGTTGTCAAATATGTCCCTCCTGCTTAACACCATGTAATGATTTGCTGACGTCCTCTATCTGAGCCTGCAGCCTTCCTGTTCCACTCATGTAATAACATTAATGCACAAAAAAAGGCTTTTACCTTGACTTTTTGCATCCACTTCCTGTTTTTTTTTCTCCGACTCCAATAAAACATAGATGGAAATTCATGGCTATGCTAATCTAGCTCAGGTAGGTCAATTCTGTTAGTGGGTCATGAATTTAAAGCAGTTGTTTAACAGCCTTGGCTCACAGCAGCCACTTCTTAATGCTGGCTGGGTTGCTCAGCAGCTGTCAGTCTACTTTATTGTCCGGCCTGCATCCGTTCTGACCTTGTTTGCATACAGCCTGAGTTAATGGATTGTGACAAAAAGCAGCTTTTGCAGGAGCTCATTATACAGCAAACACACAGGCAACTACTCGTGTTTTAGAGCGCTCATAAACAATCCAATTGCATTTAGATGAAGGATGGCGAACATACATACAGGTCCAGAAAAATGGAAGGTGGTCTGCAACAAGTCGCTCAGGCAGTTTGACAGTTGGAGTAAAAATAGAGGTATGATTTAAAAGGATGATAAGGATGATGGTGATGAACTCTCTAATGTCCCTCAGGTGCTGAACGAGGCGGTGGGGGCCATGATGTACCACACCATCACCTTGACTAGAGAAGACCTGGAGAAGTTCAAGGCACTGCGCATCATCATACGTATAGGCAGCGGCCATGACAATATCGACATTAAGGCTGCCGGCGAGCTGGGTGAGTTACTGCAGTTCAGAACAAGGCATTTCAGCAGGAGGCAATGATCATATAGCAGGAATAATAAACTAAGAACCTGCAGGAAGCAGTTATGGCCTGTTTATAAAGACCAGAACTGCAGCAAAAATGATGCTAGGGTGATAAAAAAAAATCCCGTCCTGTTCACAGGATCCAACCTTACTGGCTTTATTACCTCAGCGTAGCAACATGTTGTAGAAATGATTTATCTTTTAATGCAGGAGGTGATCAAACCACTCCCGAGCAGATGCTTTAACTCAATTGAAATTCTCTCTATTCCCATTTGGCTCCTTCAGCACATGTTTGGTATGAAAGCAGGATCTAGTCTGACAATCCTGATTAATGTTGTTATATTTCCACAAATTAGCTTGGATTTGTTAATGCAGTCTCTATTGAGGTAGTGCTTAATGGCTTTTCCCTTAAGCAGATTTCTTTTGGTTTTGTTTTTTTAATATTGAATATAAAATCCATGAAAATTAAAGAATGTTTTGAAATGATAATCATGGGATGACAGCAATCCTAACAAAACTCATGGTCTCCCAGACCCTGGAAATAGTTATAGCACCTTTGTTTGCATCAACTGCGTTCAAGCCCTTACAATATCTGGCATCTAGTATTTTATGATTGTATGGAGTATTTTAAACCTCCCAATTTACTAATGTGTGCATTTCTTTTTATTCAGGTCATTTTTAGATGAACTATCCTATTAAAAAAACTCTTTAAATAATCAGACGCATCTAAAAATGACAGAAAAGCGTGCAAAACATTTTCTAATAGAAGTTCAGACGATAATCTATTCTTGTTAGTAACACATTTTTTACGTTGTATTTTAACTCTTAACATCACCAGCATCTTTATCTCCCTATGTGTCTTTTCCAGGCATTGCAGTGTGTAACATTCCCTCCGCGGCTGTAGAAGAGACGGCGGACTCAACGCTTTGTCACATCCTTAATCTTTACCGGCGAAACGCCTGGCTGTACCAGGCTCTCCGGGAGGGCACGCGGGTCCAAAGTGTAGAGCAGATCCGGGAGGTGGCGTCCGGAGCGGCCAGGATCCGAGGCGAGACGCTTGGCCTCATCGGATTTGGTGAGAATCTCATTTAGAAAGTTTTATTTTACACAGACAGGATTTGTAGAACTATGAGGGTTCAGTCTGAGGTAGAAAAGAGGGAGAATGATGTGTTTTAATGGAGGAATCATTCTGCTGCCTAATAGGCCTGCAGAGATTTACTGAAGAGTAGTGTGAATAAAGGAGTTAGTTAATCATAGCGTTCTCCACCTTTCAGACGTTTTGATGCCAAAAAACCTCATTGCTTTAATGCTGATACATTTTTAATGCAGAGACTTTTGCAGTTTCTGCAGTATTTTTTTCTTTACTAACCTCCATAAAATATATCAGCACTTTTGTGAACAACCTTCTTTCCTTTTTCAAGGGGCTGTAAATAGACCGAAATACAGGCTTATAATCTGTCTAAAAAAATCCTGAAGACAATAACATGTTCAGTTTGTTTTCTAATTTGAATCCCTGCTTCACGTGTGAACTGCCTCATTAAAGTATCCCGACACCTCAAGCTTCTTCATATTTGCAAACACACGTTTTAATGTTACCACCAACTAAAATGGAACGGAAATGTTAATCAGAGAAGCTGTGGGGTGCTTGGGATGTTTTGAGGAGCTGCATAGATCCAGCTCAGGTTACTAAAATGAAGGTCAGAAGAAGTTCAACATGCAGTTTGTCACAAGTATTGGAGGAGACGCTGCATAGAAGAAGGAACTCTGGTTTCATCAGATCTCTTACATTTTTGGCCTTTTTACAGTAAAACTAACACTGCAGAGCACTCTAAACAAATCACGCGCATGTTCAATCATGGTGGCAGGATAATGATGTGGGGATGTTAGGTTTGGATTAATATATTTCATGTGTTTGAATTACCCATAAAAAACCAATTTAGGATTTTGGTAAGGCTTGTGAGCTGATGATCTTAGAAGCTTCCTCTCCAGGCTGAGATGCACAATTATTTAAGCTGATTGTGGTCACCCCTAAAAAACCTGCAGATGCAGTTGTAGCTCAGATAAATCTATAAATCATGGACTCAGGGTAGACGGACTATAAATACACACCAAAAACAAAGCAATGTCTAAGATGTGTGCTGAAAAATCCTGTAAGTTCTAAGTTTCCATTGGAAGCTACAAGGTGTTGACCATTATTTTAGAAAAAAGAGCAGCTTTTGTTTTTTTTTTAACAACAATGTCCTTAACTGCCATAAAAATATTAAAGTTTATTTGAAAAAAACAAAAAACAAAATCCAAGTTCTTTCTTTTTGTGAAATTTTACATTAAGTCATTTCTTGTGTAAATAATAAAGAGAAAAGATAAGAAAACTGAATTGCTTTAACTGTGGAACTAAACTTCAATGCTTTTCTAACCTTTGCTTACTTTAAACAAGTCAAATCAAATGTGCAGTTTGGTCCATGGCCAACAATTGCAAACTTTAATCCCTCCATGTTATCATATTAGTATCTGCTATGAGGCTATTTCTATTGCAACAGCTTTTTTAAAGAAAGTATAAAAGTGTCATCTATGTATCTCAGTCATTTTCAGGTTTTCTCACTATCACCTTAAATCATTTAAATACATTTATGCATAAAACTTCAAATCATAAAGCAAACATGAAGAGAACGTGCATTTCAATAAATGTTGAATTAATGTTCTGTTTGTGTGAGCTATGGGTAATATTTGTATAAATGAAGATGTGTGTAGACATCTTTATACAATACATAAATGAATGCACTTAATGTTTTATGAGCTTATAAGTAAAGGAAGAATCTGAAGGATTGTTGGATAAAGACCATAGGAGGAAGAAAGGATATGATTAAATAAGGATTACGTCTTCATTCCTCTTTTCAGACAATAGCACAAAATTATATCATATATTATATAATGTAATAATATATCATTAATTATTTAAAATATTTGCACGTTAAATTGTAATTTTACCCAATCAGAATTTTGTTTTCATTCATTAATAGAAAGATTTTATTCTCAAATGTTTGAAGGTCAAGAAATGCCTTCAGTGAAACAGCAGCTCATTTAGCCCAGGGATTTTCTTTGGAATATAGCAGCAATTTGGTCATTGATGGGAGTTATTTCACACTTTTTATCATATAACCACAAAAGCAACAACAAACCGTATTGCTGGATTGGAAGCTCCATCTTTTATGCCCACTTTCTCTTCCTTGGCGTTTTTTAGTCTGAATCTCAGCCCCTTTTAAGTGCACCACTTAAAGAACATGGCTGCTTTTGGTTATTCTCTACCACCAAAATGACTGGTTAGTGGTCCAGGGCCTGACGGTCGGTGACCCCAGATTTGACCCAAATCCAATAGTTAGAACAACAGTTAAGACATTAAAAACAACCAAAACATTTATACACATTTATCCAGTAACTAAACATAGTAGGCAAGATTATAACAGAGGGGAAGGAAATCTCTGAAGCTCAATGATATTATTATTATGTACTTACTCTGGGTTTCTAAATTAAGTTTGTTTAAAATTTTAAATACACTTCTTTTATTGATATAATAACTACAAACATAAAATCTACAAGCAGATAGCATTGGTTAAAGACACTGTATGTCAATTATTCCCTTGGTGGATTTTTCCAGAATAACACAAACATTATTCAGAGTATATATATATATTTTGAAGTATTTTAACATTTGAGTAGATTTGACCACCATACATTTATCATTCCCAGCACTTTGCCACAACGCTTACTGGAGGTCTTCTTTCCTTCTCCCCCAATCAGGGCGTACTGGCCAGGCAGTGGCCATGCGGGCCAAGGCGTTCGGCTTCAACGTGATCTTCTACGACCCTTACCTGCAGGACGGCTTGGAGCGTTCGCTTGGTGTCCAGCGGGTCTACACCCTGCAGGATCTTTTGTACCAGAGCGACTGCGTGTCCCTGCACTGCAATCTGAACGAACACAACCACCACCTCATCAACGACTTCACCATCAAACAGGTGGGACGGAAACACCTCTTCCACAAGACCTGGGCGATAAATAGCAATGAAAAACCAAACTGCTGATTTCCTTAAACTATTACAAGAATCTTTTTTGGTTCAGTATTTAGTGTTTGCAGCTTGCAAGCTGTAAATTAAGCCTTTATGAAATATCAGAGGCAGTGACATATGGGGTTAATCCCATGCAGTTTTTTCCATTTATAACTTTGATGTCAGTGTGACTCAGATGTTTTCCGCTGCAGCCTCCTCACTCGGTTCAAGCCACACACAGATTTTCAGGTAGAAAGATTGAATATCTAACAACAGACATTTATAGAAGTTTTTCTTAATATTATCTCTTGATGTACTTTATAATGTTTGTTGTACAGCACTTTGGGCAGATGTACTTGTTTTTAAAAGTGCAATAGAAATAACATTGACATTGCAATCTCTTTATATATACATTTACTCACAAATATTACCCCTAAATATAGAGTAGTCAGGTTCCAGAACCTGTTTATGTTTCATGATCTTATATATTTCCCTTAGCACATGCTGCCTCCGTCCAGCTACGATACAGTGAAATAATTGGGGGATTATATATGCAATGTATGTTAAAACCTAGGAAGAGATTATTTATGTCAGATTATTATTTCATTGCACCCAACTATGCTATACAAGTGTTATAAGTGTGACGATTGCAGATTTTATATAGTGTTATACTGCTTACTGCTGCCACCTGGTGGATATGATCTGTCCATGTTTCAGGTTTGGAAAACTCTCCACAGAAGGCAAGTTTAGATTAGAGCATAACAATAATGGGCTAAGATTACAGCATTTTTGTTAAACACATGTATAAAACAATGACTTGAGGCTATCATATAAAAAAATTAAGTTCACCCTCACATTATGAAATTGCAGTATTGGATGCAAAATGATAAAATAGGGACATAAAGAGACTTTGGTGTCTTTACTATGGAGAGCAAAGTCATGAGTTATTTGGTATAATGCAGATTAGCTTTTAAAACTTTCAATTTGAAATGTTTTGTTAAGAAGAGACAAACACAGTAAAAAAAAAGTAGAATTATGATTTTAGTTTGTTTCAGCAGATGAGAAAACTTTGTTTCTGTTAACATTGAAGAGGGACGTCACACATTAAATCAAACTTTATAATATATTAGCAATAAAATGAAAGATTGCCTAGAATGGTGATTTTTTTCTTTTACTTGTAGCTGTAACATATTTTAGATGCAGTTGTGTGAAGTTCAGTTCATCCATTATCATTACAGTGCTTCTATCAGTTGATCTATCATTAGCGTCGCTCCGTTTAAATAACCAGAGATCAGAATCAACTATTTTCATCTTGATCCGCTTTGATCAGCAGGTTACATTCTGAAATAAATCTAAGTGTTCCCTCTTTTTTTATTGAATAGATCAAATCTAATAGCTCCCACCATTTTCTTTTTATCAATGCAACAACAAACATTTCTTTAGTGACACTAAGTGTTATACAGTGGGGCAAAAAAGTATTTAGTCAGCCACCAATAGTGCAAGTTCTTCCACTTAAAAAGATGAGAGAGGCCGGTAATTTTCATCATAGATATACCTCAACTATGAGAGACAAAATGAGAAAAAAAAAAATCCAGAAAATCACATCGTCTGATTTTTAAAGAATTTATTTGCAAAATATGGTGGAAAATAAGTATTTGGTCAATAACAAAAGTTCATCTCAATACTTTGTTATATACCCTTTGTTGGCAATGACAGAGATCAAACGTTTTCTGTAAGTCTTCACAAGGTTTTCACACACTGTTGCTGGTATTTTGGCCCATTCCTCCATGCAGATCTCCTCTAGAGCAGTGATGTTCTGGGGCTGTCGCTGGGCAACACGGACTTTCAACTCCCTCCAAAGATTTTCTATGAGGTTGAGATCTGGCTAGACCTTGAAATGCTTCTTACGAAGCCACTCCTTCGTTACCCGGGCGGTGTGTTTGGGATCATTGTCATGCTGAAAGACCCAGCCATGTTTCATCTTCAATGCCCTTGCTGATGGAAGGAGGTTTTCACTCAAAATTTGACGATAAATGGCCCCATTCATTCTTTCCTTCACACGGATCAGTCGTCCTGGTCCCTTAGCAGAAAAACAGCCCCAAAGCATGATGTTTCCACCCCCATGCTTCACTGTAGGTATGCTCTCTAGTTTTGGCCATGGTGGAGTTTATAGTGTGACTGTTTGAGGTTGTGGACAGGTGTCTTTTATACTGATAACGGGTTCAAACAGGTGCCATTAAGGAAGGTAACGAGTGGAGGACAGAGGAGCCTCTTACAGAAGAAGTTACAGGTCTGTGAGAGCCAGAAATCTTGCTGGTTTGTAACTGACCAAATACTTATTTTCCACCATATTTTGCAAATAAATTCTTTAAAAATCAGACAATGTGATTTTCTGGATTTTTTTTTCTCATTTTGTCTCTCATAGTTGAGGTATATCTATGATGAAAATTACCGGCCTCTCTCATCTTTTTAAGTGGGAGAACTTGCACTATTGGTGGCTGACTAAATACTTTTTTGCCCCACTGTAGATCAAATAAAGATGGAGGATAATCTTGTAATTTGTTCATTTTGTATTGAGCTCAAAACTTCTATCTCTAAACACTCTGAATTCAGCAAAACTTAAATAGGTAGGTTAGTAAAAAAGCTAAAGAATGGCAGGCAATAGGCAAAGTCTGATAAATGCATTTATATGAGTGTTCAATTATCAAACAAACGATATCTTGAAGACTGCTCAACAAAAGCATTTTTACTTATTTCTATAGATCAGTGATGCTGCAAATCCTCATGTTTAGTGTACAAACATTAACAATAACCTATCAAAAATAATGTGATTAATTAGAAAATCATAGACGGGATTACAAAAGGTGACATTACCATGGTAACCTTAGAAGATAGAGATACAGACGCTTTCTAGCGGTGGATTTTAATCCTCCCACTCATGCCTGAGCATCTGCTTGTTTTGGTTGCGGATGCAGAAGGGAGGAAAGGACGATGCCTCCTCCAGGCGCTCTAACTGGGGTGAACCATAACTGCATCTCCACAAACAGTGCTGCTGATTGGCTTAAATCCTTTGGGTTTTATCCCATAACTACAGCCCAATAAATCAATCCAAGCATGTTTTTATGCATGTTGTGGACTAATAATACTGGGTTTAGGAAAATTTAGAAATGCAGGAGCAAGAAATTATATTTTGCAATGCTAAATTCACTAAAATAAAGGAAAAAAGAGATTTAAAAATGTTTTCTACTTTTGTTTCGGGGTTTTTAGATGCGCCAAGGTGCTTTCCTCGTCAACACGGCCCGGGGAGGACTGGTGGATGAGAAAGCTCTGGCTCAGGCCCTGAAAGAAGGCAGGATACGCGGTGCCGCAATGGATGTCCACGAGTCGGAGCCTTTCAGGTACGCCTCATTTTCTGCATGGTTTTATTTCCTACTCCTTATTTTATTATTATTGCATCAAATATTTGCCGTCGATCAGTTTTTCCCAGGGCCCTCTCAAAGACGCCCCCAACTTGATCTGCACCCCCCACACCGCCTGGTACAGCGAGCAGGCGTCGCTGGAGATGAGGGAGGCCGCCGCCACGGAAATTCGCAGAGCCATCACCGGTACGGATCTCCTTCTTTAGCTTTACCAGCCTGGCACAGGTTTGGATTTCTTAACTCAACATAAGCTGAACCCTCCGTCTTACAGGCCGCATCCCAGACAGCCTGCGAAACTGTGTCAATAAAGAGTTCTTCGTGACCACGGCGCCATGGGGAATGATGGAGCAACAGCAGCCTCAGGTTCACCCTGAGATCAACGGCGCTGCCTACAGGTGGGATCATCAAGCAGCGAGCACGTCTGGCATCTCAGTTCATGCAGTTGTTAGGATGGGATGAAGACTTGATCTGTGTTTTTGTACAATAACTCGTGTGTTTTTGGCCCCAATGAGCTTAGCCCATGTTACGTTTAGGCTCTGCGTTTCATTGTCTCAACCCGCCTGAACTGCTTCTCTCACACAGCCGAGTGAACCAAACCATGGTACAGGCCATAGCAACGGGGGGGATGCAGGACAAATTATATACCTAATTCTCTACCAGGTAAATGAATGAAGAAAGAGAGTTGTGTATCTGTTCTCCTTCACTCTCTAACCTACACGCCCAGTAACTGCACCGAGTCCACCCTGCGCACCCTTCCCCTACCCCGAACAGGAACCTAAACGCATCACAGGGTTATCTAGTGTTGGGGGAGTTAAAGGAAACAGAGGTGGTTCAATGACAGAGATTTTGTCCTGCCTGCTAACAACCACAGATTTTAATGTTTTTATTAGAATCGTTTCCTCTGACTTTATAGGCAGATACTGTGAGGTGAAAGAAAATGGAAAAAAAAATTTTTTTTTTTTAAAGAAATCTGAAAAATTCAGGGTTGTAAATATAATCAGTTGTTTGCATTAATATATTTTTGTAGTTTTTGTTATGCTAATAACTCCAGTTTGGATCAAAGTTTTGCCCCAGAACCTCTAATAGCTTTTCCAGCGTTCAGGTCCATCCATCCTTCTGCCAGCTCTGACCAGCTTCCCTGTCCCTGCTGAAGAAAACCATCCCCATAGCATGATCCCACCAGCTTGCCACCACCATGTTATTGTATGGGGAGGGGGCTTTTTAGATGTTAAAAGGCTGTAATGGTTTTCTTTTTAAACCTACTTTTGCTTAAAACTTCCCGACTGTATCCTGAAGCTGCCACTTCAGGATGCTGTCTGTTTGTTATAACTAAAAAATTCAAAACTATTCTTAACAAAACAACTGTTTTTGGACTAAATTTAGCTCTTAAGCAACAGATGAATAAAGCAAGACAATTTTCAGAAAAATGTGTTTTATCAATAATGATGAAAAACACACATGTTGTGTTTGTTTTTTACTGATATTTGCATTTCTTTATGAAACTAAATGCCTCTTATTATTTGTACGTATCTGTTAGATGTTAAGTTAGTTTTATTAGGTGATTATTTTACTGTTGATCAAATTGAGTTAAAGTTTTTTCAATTTTAGTAGTTTTTCCTCTTGTTTTGGATCAGCCTCACAATGTCAGAATCGAAACGTTTCCTGGAATATTTTCGGCTGAATGACCCTTTAAATGGATACCTACATAAAATAACCCCCCCACCCCTCTTCATTTGTTGATGTCCTGTTCCCCGCATTTATCCCTATCCCTTACAAACAGGTGATGTGGCTCAGTCAGTACAATTAGTATAGTCTTTTTATGTTTTGGCAAAGCTGTTTACTTTAGCCATGATTAGATGTTTACAGTTTAGACATTTCTAAGTAATTTCATACCTTTTTTCCCCTTTTCTTTTATTAAGAAAACTCACAATTGCCACATCATAATATCAAATTTTTTTATGATGTGGAATCATTTACATTTTCTTCTTCTTCATTTCCACCGAAAATTCCAACGATAAGTTTCCAAGGGAAGTTGTTCACTCTGTATCCTTCTTCCAGGTTTCCTCCTGGCATGATGGGGGTTGCACCGGGTGGGATAATCGGACCAATGGAAGGATTGGTGCCTGGGGGGCTGCCCATCGCACACACCCTCCCCCCGGGCACCCATCCGTCACAGGCAGCCTCCCCGCACCAACCCTCCAAACACGGCGACCCCATGAGAGAGCACATGACTGAGCCGTAACGAGGCAGCCGAAGGAGTCGATGTGGGTCATGAACGCAGTGTAAAATCAAAGGATCCGACCGAGTCGACCCGTCAAAACTAAAGCTTGACTTTACAGCCGTCTGGACCTACCAGCAAACTGCCTGCCGGGCGATGTGTTACACACTCTGTTTTTATATGGAAGCATTAAACCCAAGCGAGGACAGTGGATAACGGTGCACGCCTGAGCTGCCACACCCAGATGGGACTGAGCTGTCAAAATCCTGCACAGAAGATCCCAAATCTCTCCCTGTTTCAGTTCTCATTTTACTCCTCACTGAACTAAGGGAAGGTTTTCTTTACTATTCCATATATTCATCGGATTCATCCGACTTCTGCCTCTTGTTAGCAGGAGCTAAAGGCTCCCCATCATCCCTGGTTTAAAAGACGACCCTGTCAAGCCTGATCTTTCCATTTAGTTTCCCCCTCATGTCTGCACAAACGTGTCTGGTGTTAGTTTTATTTTTTGTTTGTTTTTTTTTACTCAATTTGATTTTTTGTCTGTGCTTCTGTTGAAAACCGGTATCTGTTTTTTCTCTGTTATTCAGTGTGTGGAAATGAAAGGGTTTACCATCAGACAAGAAGGATCTGGAGTCTCTTAGATCCGAGCTCTTTATTTTTGCCCGTTTCTGTCTGATAGGTGGTGCCCCCAGAATGTAAAGACAAAATAGGAGAAAGATGATCTGTAAGGGTAAGAATAACCCTTTTAAACCAAAAATTTTAAAAAAAATTGGGGAAAATTAATTAAATTGAGCACTAATATTTAAGGTCCCTCTGATATCTGCTTGTTATGAACAAAATATGATCTGTTTGCATCCAAAGGACCTGATTTGCATGGCAGCGACGCACTTGTGAGATATGAATATGTCGGGGTGGGAGGGGAATAGAAAAAGGAAATGACTTACTCAGGAAAAACTAAAACATTAAATCTGAACAGAACAGGAAGAAACTCTGGATTACTGCATTTCCTTTCCCATTGTGGTATTTTTTTTATAAATCAAACGTACCTGTTTTGTTTTTTTTTTTATGTTGAAGGTTGTCACTCTTGTTAGATTTGTATTGCCTTGTTAAATGTTCATATAAGTGTAGTCTGACGTGGCTGACCCCGCCCTCGCCTGCCCCTCTTATAGTTATGTTTTCCCTGCTGTGACGAGAGCCAGATGGGGTTTCCAGAGGCTCTGTGAACAAACAGCGGCCACATCCATCCATCTATCCCTTCAAAACCAAGACTTTAGCAAGACGTGGCTGCTAGCAGATTGTTTGGTTTTTAGTGTGAGTATTTGTATTTGTTTCTTGTATAAGGTGAACATATAGCATACAGTGCAGCTGGAACCAATAAATGAAACTTACTGTTCTGATTCATGATTGGGATTTCTTCTTTTTTCTATGGCACAATGATTCACCTGATACTTTTAAAATCTCCACAAGCCCAATTGTTTATTTGAATAAAACATGCCACTTCATTGCAGTTTATAGATTATTTGCTCTCCTTTTCTTATCTTGTCTGGAAAAATAACTGAATATTAAGTTCTAAAAGTTGATAAGAAGATATAATCCAAGCTTGTAGAAGTGATGTAAGTTTGTGCCTCCCAAAAAATAATTTATAACAGCATATTTTGTGATTTACTGAAAAATAATAGATTTTTATGCCCCCTAGTGACCAGAGTGGTTTTTGCAGGAATTTGTCTGTTTGTCATAATACTGACTGATAAACAACACTGTAAATGTGAAACAATTTGTTCATCTTCTTTCAAACACATGCTTTTTTTACTGATATTCTTAATGTGTATCTTGTAAAACAATGTTAGTCCAGCCTTTGCAGTTAGAACAAGTTAAAAACATTCCATCTGGTCGAGTTCAGAACTCGGTTCGGTGTTCATTCATGCTTTTGTGGAGCCACTATGAAACTATTCCAGCAATTTTTGGATTATTAAATTTTTCCAAACTGTTTTAGTGAGCTGAGATATTGGAGCCACAGCTCCAATGAAAGCTCATCCATTCCTCACCTTTACCCCATTGCTGGGTCACAGTGGAGCAACTGATGCGTCCCTCCAGTGTTCATTGGGTGAGAGGGGAAGGATACATCCTGGTTAAGTCATCAGTCTTTAGCAAATTTACATCAAGTTTAAAGCTGTACATTTTTGAAGAGATGAACTTCACTTTTTCCATTATCTGGTAATTGTACCAGATGCGTTTCCTTTCCTGATAACTTGTCTCATTGTTTTTTGTTTCCTTTAAAAAATTTGTTTGCTTGAGATGTTGCCCTGAATGACGTCCATGGGTGTGTCTCCACTCAACTTAAATGTGTTATTAGACCTTTATGAAGCCATAAAATCCATTTTTTCTCAAAAAAAAAAAAAAAAAAAAAATGAGCTCATTCACTACTGGCATTAAAGGTATAGTGGAGGATGTTCTTTTTCCCGGGAGCGGGGTACAGGGCTGTGCATGTGCATTTTTTTTGCAAGTGGAGAGTCTTTAAAAAAAAATAGCAAAAATCCTCCACTATACCTTTAAATAGATACATTTAATCATTATCGCATTGTTTACTTTGATTTTATGTCAGTGAGAAATTGTGGTCTTAGAATATTTGCAGAAAAGAAAAAATTTAACATCCTCTTGGAATATTGGGATTAGATTTATCTATTGATTGAAATTATGTAACAAATATGCTATAAAATGAAATGCGTTGAAAATAAAACTGAATACTTTCCAGGTTAAAGTGTAAATCCAGTGACCTGAGCGGTGAAATCTGTCCTCTTTCCACGCTGCAGAAACACAACAGTTCAGTCCAGACATTCAAAAGGGTTTTATTTGTTTTTTTCCTCCATATTTTTCCTTTACCTTGCATTACACTCCGCTTAGTGAAGTCAGGCCTAAATCCACAAACCATCATAGTTACAATTTCAACTATTGTATAAATACAAAGCAAACACATAGGTGATGTCCAAAAAACATGAATGACATGAAACACGGAGGAGGTTACAGTACGCAATGGTTAGAGGGGGAGAAAAATAACGCAAACGGTAGGGTATTATCTTTTTTCCCCAGTTATTTATTTTTTCGGCTTTGGTTGTAGATGTTGCCATTTCTCACAACAAACTGTATGGAAATGATGGACAACGGACTTTAACTGACACGTGTGAGCTGGCAACCAATAACTGAAGGGAACAGGAGACAAATGTGAGCTTTAACACTAAATCGCCTCATCTGTCAGAAAAACAAACAAACAACAAAAAGCACCAGATTTTAGGCATTCAGATGAGGTACTAAATCCCATGCAACATGTTTAAGTAAACTTCTCACTGTCAAGATTGGTTCTCTCCTTTACAGCAACAGTGTTTCTGTGCAAAAGTGTCTTCATCGAGATTGAGAGCATAATTAACAAAATCCACACAAAGAAAAAAAAAACAATCCGAGAAAAATATACATAAAGCTCTTATTAGCTCAAAGAAGTTTCCAAACAATAAATATGTCGAATAAATTCAAGCACACGCACAGCTTCTCAGTTCAATCAGTCTGTATAAAGTAAACCGAATATCTAAACGTGTTAATGCGCTAAACCTTAGAGGGCGAACCTCCCTTCAAAGGATCTTATTTGAAGCAGTGATGCTGCATTTTGATTAGAAATGTGTCCATAAAGGTGCATTGCTTATAATAAGGATATAGTAGGTTGTTTATTATAATCTCTGGTTTTCTGAAGATTATATTTATTGGCTTTGTCCTTGTCTGTTCAAACACAAAAAACACACAGAAAAAAAAATGCTTAACGAGCCAAACTGTACAACTGGAAAACACGTCAAAAAGATCAGGTTGGAAGTGTGCTTTTGTCAGTGCCCCACGCTGAATAATTATAAAGTGTTATCTTAAATAAATGCTGGTATATTTCCTTTAACTTTTATCAACAACCACATGCATTTGGATCGATGGATAAACATTAGGTTTTTTTTTTTTTTTTTTTATATTTGAAGCAGGAAAAAAAATCGAAGGGTTTTCTGGATTCCTCTCTTCTTCTCCCCCGTCGTCGTCAGTCAGGAGTTGGTTTTATGAAAGAGTTTTTTGTAAGAACACGACCGACTGGCTGTTTGTAGCAGAAGAGCAGCAGTGTCTTCTGTAGTTGTGTTTCCCTGTCCTCTGCTGGAGGCTTTCACAGTTTGTCCGTGTCAAGAAAGGATAAGAAAAATAAAATAACCGGAAAAAGTGTAAAAAAAAAAAAAAAAAAAAAAAAAAAAAAAACCAGACATGAAGAAATGGGGGAGGAGTCCTGCCTCCTGCAGACCCGCTCTCTCCGCTTCAGTTTAGTCACTCGTCATCGTCGTCGTCCTCCTCTTCTCCGTCGGACAAAGAGGCGCAGGGTCGGATCTGCCTGTAGCCATCCAGCCACTTCTCCACCATCTGAGTGACGAGCGGATGGTTGCGGCGGCGGGAGCTTTTCTGCAGCGCCACCAGAATGCCGCCCTCCGTCACGCAGCAGTCCAACCACTCTCTGAGGAGTTTCTCCTGTTGCTCTTCGTTTCCCATCTGAAAGAGAGCAGCAGGTCTTACTACACACCACAGGATCAAACATACAAACCTTCAAAGTTTCTAATGTCGCTTTTATTGGGATGTTTTACCCCCTTATTCCCTGTCAGAGAAAGTCTCCATCACCCTACAGTAAAAGTGGTCACAAAAAGGAAGTTATGACAAAAAGGAAGATTCTCTGATATCTAAAACCGAAATACATTTTAAAAAGTCTTAAGATTTACAGAGGCTAATGAGGCTGTGAAGACTGTCCAAACCCCACTATGAAGACCAAAGAACACAGGTGAAGTTTAGAGGAAGATCAGAGCATTTAAACAAGCTTTGACCCTCTCATCAAGCATCATTCAAACAATCATCTGGGATATGAAAATGTAATTAAACTACAGTGTAAACTAACAGGCCATGAAATCAACAAAATCAACCAGGAAGAAGCCAAGAGGCTCATGGCTACTCTGGAGGAGCGTCACACATCCACGGCTCCTGTGGGACAGAAGTTTCCCTACAATCTATATGGAAGATTAGGAATAAGGAAGATGAAGTTAAAACAACAATGTTAGAGACCTGATTTACAGCTTAATGCGAGAGATGAAAGGATGCTTCTAAGAAGTGGAAGAAGGCACCTTGGTTAGATGAGAAACACTCAAACCTGTGAGCTATATGATCCAAAAAAGAAAAGAAAAGCAGTTTGTAGCAGCATCAGCCTTTAGAATTTTTTTTTTAAACAGATTCCAGCAATCTGTCCTAAGCTGATGAAGTAGTGGAATCACGCCAGCTGTATTTTTTGGACCAGAGTTCGTTTCCCCCTTAGTCAGAACTTTTTTTGCAGACTTGAGCAAATTCTGGGTTGCACTAAAAAAGAACAGACAGTGACCTAGTCCTTTCCTTGCTAGTCCTTTCAGTCCAACGGGAGAGCAAAAAAATTCTTTTAAGTTACAATCCACTGGCAAAAAAAAAAAAAAAGGATCTGATGAAGGGAACAACTAAAAAACAAGAAGAAAATGAACATTTTCTGGTGTAAATACATCTGGAAAAACCATGATTACAGAGAATAATAAGGCTGTGGGGTGAAAGGTTCCCTTTCCTCAGGGACTAAACCCACAGCCGAAGCTTCAGTGGAACCATTCGGATATTTAGGGAAGGTGAATATATTTCTATGCCACACTTTACTGGACAACTATGCACCAGTGGTGTTTTCACCAAGGATGACAAATTATTTTGCTGGTGCCCCTTTTTTCGTGGCCATAACAAGAACTAATGAGCTAAACATGAATTTTGGATGATGAAAACATCATGAGTCATGGGTGTGAGTTTTTGGTGACGGGACGAGACGAGTGAAAATGTTAGCAGGGTGACTGTAGGATTTTTAAAATGCATTATTTTGCTGTGATGTGCTACGTAGTATCAGTCGTGCCACCCACCTGGTGTGCAATGTTTCCTGGTATTGCCATTACAGGGTTTTTACAGGGATGAGCAACTTTAATTTAATGCGTTTTAATGCTCTTTTAATGCTCTTAGAAATAATTTGAATGCCATCAACAATTACCCATGACTCTTATAATTACACGGCAAAATCCTTTGTTGACTTTACCATCAACAGGCTGCAATCCCTCATTTTCCAGCCCCTTTTGTTGAAATAGCCATTTTCCCATTCTCTAGCTTTTTCTCCGCCTCAAGTTTCTTTTAATTTCCATTCAATTTATCTTTATTTTCATTGTCACAAGAACAACAAACTTTAAAAAAGTGCCATCGATCAGTGCATATGCTTAAAAACAAAAATCACTGTCTCCACCATTTACACATAATATAAGAAATAAATAACAACAACTGATACAAAACAACTAATAA